AAGACAGACTTCCTTCCCCTTTGGATTTCCTCTAACTATCCCTTATTTTACTGGACAATTCAATCCCCATATGAGCCATATGGCATACATTTTTCTCGCCCCCTTAACTATTCTGCGAACAATAGGAAAATTTTATGCCCATTTGGAAAAAAGCCACCCCTCTTTGATTTTAGACTAATTTGATGTTTGTCCCCATTCAAAAGATTCGAAATTCCTTGGCTCACATCGAGAGTTTTCTCTCTTTTGGGGAAACACATGGCCAATCTGAGATACAATTTTTACCAATTTTCTGAAGCTCTTTCTCCTTTAGTTTCCTACCCCCACGACAGCGGCACACTTCAGTTTCCCACCCCCGGCCTCAACTTTTCCCATCAATGACTATTAATTGGCATTCTCCAATGGGCAAGGGGCGGGGGTGCATAGTGGGGCATGCACCATGGGTAGCACTTGCATTAAGGCGGCGCCATTAAAGCTCATCAAAAATGCAACCCAAAGTGGGGGCACTTTAAAAATGCCGCCTCTCATAGATTTTCATTTTCCATTTCCATTTTCCAAGTCCCCAAGTTGCTCACCCCCTCCTCCTACTCCCGGGTAAAGTGCTCGCTATATATATATATATTTTTTTTTTTTGTATTTTGTGGGTCACCAGCTCCATCCCCTGACATCCGCCCCGCCTCCCCCCTTCCTAATGATGATGGCCTGACAAATATTTATTGCTTAAGCATTTGAGTGCAAATATTTTAATTAGTCTGGCGACAAGACAACAAAAGATACATCTCTCATTTGGGTTGGAGAGTTTTCCATGATGGAGATGAAGTTGAAGCTGAAGCTAGACCTGAAGCTATAGATGGAAATGGAAATGGATTCTGTGCCCAGCGCTGATGAGGCTTAATGAACTGCAAAGCGGCTTTCAATTGTCTTCAATTAACCAAATTAACCAAGGGATAAATTGTTTGCCTTTTGAATAACCTCTCGGCTCTGTCGGGTCTGTCTTTGTGTCATTTTGCTTAGCAAAAGCGATGGGAAATTTTTGTTTGGCTTTAAGTAAGAATTATTAGATATGTTTAAGGGAAACAAATAATTAAATAAAGTTAATAAGTCATGGAAAATTATAGAAGTAATTCCTAATTAAGCAATAGAAAATCAGAGAAGTAGTTATTAATTAAGACATAGAAAATCATAAAAGTAGTTTGCAGACTTTTTCAATTTTCTATGAATTCATTATTAATATTAATTATTTATTTGAAAGTTTATAATTAATTTGAAATGAATTTATATAAAACAAGAAAAGAAACTAATTCAGGAAGCTGAATTATAGGATCGAATTGGAAATCGATTATAACTAACCTTAGAACATTCGATATTTATCGACAATATTTTCGATAAAATCAACATTTAAAAATCTCATAACTCAGCCAAAAACTCATTAATTTCATTTCGGAAAACTGTCCTGTGTTATTTTTTATTAGGTTAATAAATCTGCATACTTAATTAAAAACTTTACGAAATTAAAATTTTTATCAATTTTTTTTTAATTTTATCGATGCAACCCCTTATAAAATATTGCAAAAAATTTTGAAATTTTTTTTGCCTTATGAGTTTGCTAGATCGACTCGGCTTTTGATTCTGATCAAGAATATATATGATTTATAGGGTCGCAAATGACTCCTTTACTGCGTTATAAGCTTTTGATTAAAATTATAATACCCTGTAAGAATAAATTAATTTATTTTCTTTTGAAAAAAAAAACCTTAAGAAAGAGCTCTGAAATGCTCTGGTTTTTAACAAATTCACATAAAATACATAACTCAGAATACAAATTCACATAAAATATATATAACTTACAATCAAAATTAACATAAAATATATATATCTGGAAATCAGAATTTATATAATATTTATATCCTAAAATAAAAATGCATATATTTTAGTATCCCAGAATCAGAATTCATATAAAGCATACATCTCAGAATCAACATTTACATAAAAATGTATACTAAAATCAAAATACTCATAAAATATATATCCCAGAATCAAAATTCCCATAAAATATATATCTTAAAACCCAAATTCACCTAAAATATATATCTTAGAATCAGAACTCATATAAAATATATATCCCAGAATCAAATTACACCTAAAATATATATCTTAGAATCAGAACTCGTATAAAATATACATCTTAAAATCAAAATTCCCATAAAATATATATCTCAAAATCCAAATCCACCCAAAAATCTATTCATCTCAAAGTCTCATTAAGCCCAGAAAAACTTGTCTTAACCAAAACCAGGTTCGAGAAACAGTTGGTGGGCCAAAAAAATAAAAAATAAAAGAAGTCAAATCAATGGCAGCGATACGCCAGAAACTGTCAAAGCCTGACAGCTCGCCCCCTTTTTAAAGGGGGGTAAGCGGTGCACTGCCTCACTAAGGGGAAAGGGGGGAGAACATAATTTGCGGCATGCAAAGAACTAACAAAACAGGACGAAATTGAAAAGGAAAAAAAAATATACATACAAGTTTCGACATGCTGACGAGGACGCGTCAAAACGATCCAACAAATCGATATGTGGCAACAACGAAAATCCAAGTACTATGTTATGTGCAACAACAACAAAAGCAACTTGCGACATGAGCATGTTGCACTTCCTGCCACGCCCCCAAAAAAGGCACCTTTCCTTCTCTTCTTTAATATATATATTTTTTTTGTATTTTGTTGCTGTGGAGGAAAAGCCCCATCCTTTTCCGCCTGTCGATGGTTTCAGACGTTTTTAGCAATTTGCGATGCCAGCAAATTGGGCCAAATTATAAAATTCAAAAAAAGAAAATAAGAAAAAACCTCACACATGAGCATACACTGCTACAAAAATGGGGTGTATGGTTTTAGATATTTTGAAAACTATTTTAATATGAAATTTACAATTTCTTAGATTAATATACTTAAATTTATATATTGATTGGTTTTGAAATGTTTACCTAAGTTTATTTAAATCCTCCGTTTTAATTAGTTTCTTCTTTTAAATTTAAATAATAAACTTAATTTGAAATGAAAATATTATTTTTAAAAATATTTATTTCTTTTCTGACACATTACCTATTTTTAAAATTTATATTTGAAATGATTTGAAAGTCTTTATGCAACTTTATAAAATTCCTTCTTTTAAATTTAAATATTTAAACCCCTTTGAAATCAACATTTTAATTTTAAAAATATTTGTTCTACTTAGTTTAATATTTAACACATTAATTATTTAAATTTATATATGAATTGAAAGTCTTTATGAATCTTTACTTAGGTCTTTCATTTTATTTAATTTCTTCTTCCAAATTAATAAAATCCCTTTTATATTAACCAATTAATTTAAGGACATATTTTTTCTATTTAGTATAAAATATGACACATTTTTTTACAGTGCTTTGGGAGCCTTAAGTAAAAGGTTAGCTTCAACCGAAGAAGCGCCAGATTGAAACTTTGCTTTGATTCGTTTTTTTTTTCTTCTTCTGATTTTTTAATGACAAGGGACAGGTGCGTGTGGCTTTACCTGTATGCGTGAGTATCTGTGTGGGCCAGGTGTATTAAGTTGTATTGGTGCAGCTTCCTCAAAGCAAACTCAGATCTTTAACTTTGAGTTTAAAAACCGAAACTGAGGCTGCGAGGTACATTTGTCCAGTTCACAGCTGGAGGCAGAATGTTTTTTTGAGTGCACAGCGAAAAAATAATTAAATTAAATAAAAAATATACCTATTATAATATATATATTTATAAGAATAAGTATATATATATAAGTATCTACAGATTTTCTAGAAACTTTCCTTAGGAACTTTTATATGAAAGCAAAATTTCTGCCTAGTTTTCACTACTTTTTCTTAACAAATTCCTAATTTAATTTATTAGTTTAAAGTTTTCTTAATTTTTTCTTTATTTCAGTGGTTAAAACTTGTAATTATTTTATATTTTATACAATTTTTTTTACATATTTCACTAATCATTAGCTGTTTAGTTATTCATTGTCTCTGAACTTTGTTTTTTGGGTTTGAATGTAATCATAAATCATGCAAAAGTAACCAAAGAAAATATCAAATCAGTTAAGCAGAGCATTTTTTTGTATTTTGTTTAAGCCGCTTTTGGGTGGATGGTAAATGGTCAGAAGAAGCTAATTAGTTGGCCAAGGTTTAAGGCCATCTTTTTTAGAAAGAGGAAAGTGAAGACTATAAAAAATTAAAAAGAAGAATGAATAGAGTTTGGATTTACAAAATAAGAAATGGTAGAGTAAGTGAATTTATTTTGATGGAAAAAAGAAAAAAAAACTTGCTAAATATATATATTTAAATTGCATAAATAATACAAAATAATTAATAAAGTATTTACAATTATTACAATTATTTAATGAAGTATCTTTTAAAGATAAAGGCAAATAATACGAAATGTAAATACATTTTATTACGAATCTTTTAAAGATACATTCATCTAATTAAGTATCTTTTAAAAATATCCACATTTAATTAAGTATCTTTTAAACTTTAATAAATACTACGTAAAAAACACTAAATGTTTCTCAAGCAAACCTAATTTATTTAAAAAATCGAATACATTTATTATTTAAACACAAAGTATTCTTCATTTTCCAAAGCACTTTTAATTTCAATCTTCAACTTTTAAGGTACATAACATATATCCCTTCGGCAAAAGACACACAGATACTAGCACTAACACCAGCACAAGTGAGCGAAATGTCAAAGTGACTAAAAGTGAGCCAACTTCAAAGCAAAAAAAACTTTTTGAGAGGGCCAAAAAGTCGGGATTTTATAAACAAAATCAAACGAAAAGGTCAAACTAGGGGAGCAGCTGGGGTTTGTAGCTGCACTTTTTCATATTTTATTTTTACAGAGCTTTTGGGGGAAACGGAGAGTTGCTAATTTATATATATATATTTTTTGTTTATTTTTTAACACACACACAAACACACAATAAAAAAAATTAAAATACTTTAAGTACTCACAATTTCAGAATATTTGATTTCCTGGCCAAAGTGCATATATATTGTATTTATTTAGCTGAATTTAACTGAACAATCACAGGCACTAATCCATCAACATTTTATATGGTTATATTTTGTTATTTGTTATTATTTTATTGGGTTTTGTTTGGTTTTTTTCTTTTGTTTTATTTATTTATTGTTGGCCTTGTTTAATCCATTTTCAGCACTGGTAATCCACACCAAAAGATACGTTTTTTTATCGTTTGCACACAACAGAAAAAAAAAGTGAGAGAGCAACTTAAATTGCGGTTAAAAACCTTTATCCTTTTGCGTATTTCTTTATTTTGTAACTATTTAATTTTCCTGATGGAAAGTCTTAAACGAGCGAGTTGTCATTGTAATTCGTAATCCAAAATATGGATGGAGAGATACTTCGCACGACGACTCAGAACTACGAATATTTTGTTGTGTTGCACGTTTCACGGAACAATTGGCTATAATCTCTGCACAGACGTCGGATCGCTGCCGCTACCAATTCACAACTGAATTTCGAGTTTTCCGAGTCGTTCGAGCCGAAGATCTGTGCCTCCTTGGGCCATGCCGGTTGCCATCGAACAAAACAAAGCGCATCGAACACGTTCGAAGCGGTTGCAAGGCCTCTGTTTGTGGGTTAACAGAGCGCAACAGGGTTAACAGTGGACTGCTAAATACTTAACATATTTAGTTTTTGAATGCCAACATTGTTTGTTTTTAGAGGGAATAAAGGTAGGGTTAAATCTATATAGATTTAATTTTGAATCTATAAATATTGCAAGAAATATTTACATAATTAAATTTGATTTAAAACCTCAATAAATTGTTTGTTATTCGACATATTTGTGTGTGAAAAACTTTAATAAAAATAATGATGTACCAGAAAATGCATCTCATAATTATGTTATACATTTCTATAATAAATTTCAATTAAAAATAATAACGTTTACAGTTTTTAACAAATTTGTATCTAATTTGATTCAAATCTATCTTTATTTTTATAGAATTTCGTTTTTAGTTTTATGAAAATCGGAATACTATATAATATAACTGCCAGAGAGGATAAGTAAGTATCATTCAACAGTAAGGAGCTATGACCGCTAAGTAACTATAAACAGTAACTATGACCTGTGGTCAGTAAGTAACTCTGAACAGTAAATATATATGACTAGTAAGTATCTATGACCATTAAATAACTATGATCAGTAATTATCTATAAGCTCAAATTAACTATGGTCAGTAAGTAACACTGAACAGTAAGTAACTATGATCAGTAATTAATTATAATAATTAAGTATCAATAATTATTAAGTATCTAGGACCAGTAAGTAACTCTGAACAGTAAGTATCTATGACCAGTAAGTATATATAAACAGTAAATAACTAAGATCAGTAATTAACTATTATAATTAAGTAACTATGATCAGTAATTAACTATGATCAGTAATTAAGTAGGAGCACTAATTAACTCGGAACCGTATGTATCTATAATAAGTAAGTAACTCTGAACAGTAAGTATCTATGATTAGTACGTATCTATGATCAGTTCCTAACATTGAACACTAGTAAACAATGACTTGCAACTTTTATAACACAACACATATCTGAGACCCGGCCGGTAGAAGTCACTTCGTTCCGGGGATGTTAGAACCAGTTGGGAATCATATGCACAGATGTGCGAGATTTAAGAGCAAGCTATTTAAATAAAACTATGGAGTTATTCTTGTATATAGTTTTACTAGTATATAAGTCGAGGTATGGCGAATCGGTGGAATATATATATATATATATATATATTCCACCGATTCCACTTGCTATAAAGCTGCCATAGTAAAAATCGAAAAATTGTAAGAAAAAAAACAAACTCTTCCAGTTTTCAATGGATTAACATGAAATTTAATATATAGCCATTATTTATTAAGATAGAATTTTGTGTTAAATTTTATGAAAATCGAACTACTATATCATAAAGCTGTCATACAAACAATCGTTAAACTGTAAATATAATTTAATTCGTTTGCTGTATGTATCCATTATTAATGTTTACTTATTAAATGGTGGTAATTCTGCCTTTTTTTTTTGTATTAATTTATATATTTATTTATCAATTTATTGTATTATCTTAGTAAATATTGCTTTTCTAATATTTACTTATTGTTTATTTATAAATATACTTATTTGTGCAGTTAATTAAGTGACTTATTCAAAAATTAAATAAATAATATTCAGAAAGTAATTATTTGGTACCTTTCAAAGATACTACTAAGAAAATAAAGACCTCTAATTTTCTTCACTGTATAATCTGAGATTGTTGAGTATTTTAAATTGGGGTTCCTCTCCCTCCTTCGAAATGGAGCCTTCCCCCCTCTGGGCCCAAGGATTTGTGCATTTCCCTTGCCATCTGCTGTGGTCTCACCTTAATTGCCAACTGATTTGCTGTTAGCAGCGCCACCTTCCGCCGAAAGTGTGGACCACCGACAGGCTTAAAAAAAAATACAAAACTCTAAAAACTATAAACTATAAATAAGAAATTATAAAATCTTAAAGGAATTCATTAATTTCAAAAATAAAATGATGATATATCATAATTACAGCTTATAGTATTTATTATTTAGATGGATTTATGTTTAAACTTATGTATATTCTGTACCTAATAAAAACCTATATATTTTTTGGGGTTTTCTTTATTTTGAAATAAAAATTTGGTACTATATATTTCCCTTAATATATACTATTTTTCTTTTAGTGTTTAAAAATTAAGACAAATCTGTAGAATTGGCCGCGAAGAGGTCAATGCTGTCAGAGTGCCAGCTGTTCGCTCAAACAGAAATTCACCCGCAATTCTTCTGCAGTTTCTTCCGGCTCTTGGCCAGCAATTCTTCGCGTTTTGACCCCAAAGTCTTTGGAATACCAAAAAGATTTGCAAAAAAAAAAGGGAAAAAAACAGCAACATATGGCATTCGAAGGGCAATTTAAACGAAATAACTTGACAATTTGCAGGGAGTTTTGGATGGTTCCCATAAAATATATATTTAAATTGTGAAGAAAGCTTTTCTCCCAGCCTTTTCTACAAAATAAATATCTAGAGCTGACTTTGTGGGAGATTTTCTTTCTCTCTTGACTGAAACTTGCTAATCAATCGCTGGCACGATGATCCCCAATAGAACCGATATACAAATACCGATCGAACCCGATATAGATGCGTGGAAAAGGGACAACGATATGGGAAGATTTCGGCACGGAAGATACCAAAAATAAACTAGTTTTCCAGCGGTATTGAGGGAGGGAAGGGGGAAAATTTATGGATAGCGCAATTTAAACTACGCGTGTGAGGGCGGCAATGCCGGAAAATTCAAGGGACGGGGAGGGGGTGATGAAGTGCTCCCTTCGATTTTCCGCTCACTTCTTCGCGCCTCTTTCTATTTTTTCTTTTCCATTTTCCATTTTCTATTTACAGGGAGGGTGAAGATTTTCCAGCTCTACTGATTTTTCCAACATTTCCCTAGATTCGGCATTCGTTTCTGTATAATTGTCGTGTAATTTATGACCGCCGTATGGAAATATCAGTGCACTCGGCTCTAAATTTAACAAAATTTAAGAAAAAAAGAAACCCCAGGGTAGGAAATAATGCCAATCACTGAGAAAATATTGATAGAATAAAGTAAGAGACTTAATTATATGGAAAAAGAAGAAAATTATATGAAGGTTACAAGAAAAAAGAGCCTTAAATACCTTTGTAATATAATTAAAATATAATTTAAGGCAGAAACTATGTACTATATTAAAATATTCTTAAAAGGTTTAATATAATATTATAATACAATATATATATGATCCTATTTTTCTCTCTGTAAATAATAGTTTAAGGCTGCGTTTCAAAACCGACTTGTCTTGCCTATGTATATATATTTCAAATTTGTTTATAAACAATCGTTGAACAAAAACAGAAGCCTTTGGGTTCTCTTGTTACTCTGTGAGCTCGATAAGGAAAGATCACACCAGCCAGAGATCCCATAAATATCAATAGCGATAACTTTAAAGATTGGAAATATGCATTAACAATTCAAATCATACATTAAGTACTTTTCAGAATAAAAATTCTGATAATATGTTATCTACAAAAGAGTTCTTTTTCCTTGCTAAGTTGAACATTTTAATAGAATTTCCAAGAAATACTTTCTAGGAAAGTTTATATATGGTTTTCCGCCTTTTGGTGTAGAATCAATTTCCTTGGCATAAAATCAAATCGAATCAAAATCACTTTTCATTCCCCAAAAATGTTCCCAGTCAAATCTCTAACTTTCCTTTGGATCTCTGCTCATTTAGTTGACAGTTTTGGCTGCTCATTAAGGTGGGGAAAGAAAAACTCTCCATGGCAACACTGCAGATGCAGAGACACAGGAGCGCTTTCCTTGGTATTTTCCAAAACTCCATTCTTCCCATTTTGGATCCACACTTTTCCATTATTGTTGCCAGGCTGCTAAATATAAGCACTCAGACGTGTAAGTTACACTCCCCGAATATTCACAGTCACAGCCACATCCACATCCGTTCCAGCTCCATCTCCTGCTCCTGCTCCTGCTCCATCTCCTGATTTTGTAGTACATCTCCCGGACAGCTGTACTTTGGCACGCTTCTCTGTTGGATTCAAGGGCAAAAGACACCGCCAATCTTCAAGAGTCTGGGGTCCGTTGCCATGGCCAATCCCTGGCCCCCTTTTCTTTTTTGCCTAGTCTTTCCCCTCCCCAAAGGGGCTGTCCCGCAGACTCTTCGAACTATTTCTGAACGTCCGGCCTTTTTTATTTATATTTTTATTATTTTTTTGCACTGCGCCAAGTTCCCCTGGAAATGTGACCGAAAAAGGGGTAGTTCCTTTGAAGGATAAACCATTCAAAAATTTGTACATCTATTATTTTGATATATAAATTAATAAAATATATAGAAACTATATATAAATATATAGGAACAAATATATAAAAATATATATGAAAATATATATATTTATATTCCTCATCCTTATAGGTCATTCCTCGCCTCGAGTTGAAGTTTATCTAATCCCTGTTTCAGCTGCCAGCGTTTCGT